AGGGTGGGTCCTGACGCGATTACATGACGCTGTGTCGTCTCGACACTCGTCTGACGTGACATCAGTCGAGGGGCGGAGATGCGAACTACGTCAACAACGGAGCTGCCACTACGCCCTGGACGTCGAGATTGGGGGAGTGAGAGGGTCTCTTCAACAACCCATGGGGGCCGCTGAGTATTAATAAGGTAAGATCTCAATAACTTTTAGTCGTGAATGGTGCCTTTAAAAGCTGCCTCAACAGCAGAATGCTGCATTTCCTCTGAAAATGTGGATAAACTGTGGATGACTTTCGAAGGCAAATCATTCCCCTACTCCCTACAATCGATCAGCAACATCCTACAATTAGCCCACATCGTAGAATAAAAGTTCACGTGGGTTTCTCAAGTGTCTTAGGCAAGGGCGGAGAATCTCCTTTCAGAACTGTGGTAGCTCCTATCCTCTCTTTCGTTGACGTTTTCGTACTTAGGACAGTTTGCAGTCCATTGGTCTTACTTCAGCGAGTAGGGCTGTGGAGAAGATCAACATCATATTTTGCTTTGTTGGAGAATTGGTGTTGAGGCAGTTGGATGTCAAAAAAGGAGCGAACAGCGTTTCGTCTAGAGAGGCTTTCATTGTCCAACGTTTTGCCAAGATCTAGGCATTCTACTACTGATTCAGCATTCATGCAGATTCAGCTGCATTGTTATTGAAAACTGCGGAATGTATTCACGTTATGGAGACTTCACCACGGGTGAATAGTCCGACCTTTTTTTCACAGCAAGCGTGCAAGGAAAGATTCTGAAAAGGAACTGCAATGTCACGCTTTCACCGTGGTCAACTGTATATGTTAACTACTCATACGCGAGCTGGCTGACTCCGAAAGTGCGCTCAGGAGGGCAGTGTTGTTGTGGATTAGAAGCTGCGTGTTTAGCGGCTGAAGAGCCGTTGTTTCACATACCGTGATCTTTGCAGTAAGCCTGAAGAGCTCTGTTGGGCTTTTAAGGCTTTCAAGGCTCAGCAGAACTGTAACCAATATAGGCGATCTAATTGTAAATTTGGATGTAGGACTTTTCGTTAATCCTAGGTATTGAATTGTCCGGGAAGTTTTTTCGAACACAGTGGGTTAACCAATTGTACAAAAAACAAGGACTTAACCTCATAAAGCTATTTATTCAGTGAAAGGATGAATTCTCCCTTAAAACCACTTTTGAATTGTGTTGATATTCCTTTAAATCTTTGTGTATAGGACTCGTGTGGAAATTGGAGACTAACGCATGCATTTTTGGCACCGGATGTTTTTCTTCTACCACAAGGGCAAGAACTCGGCTCAGGCTGCGAGAAAGATTTGCGACGTTTAAAAAGACAAAACTCAAGGGAAACGTACGGTGCGTGAGCGGTATACGCAATTTAAGTAGAGTGGCTGCTTTCATAGTCCGCCGGCCGGCTGACGTAAAACGAATTAGTTCGTATGTAAGAAATCTACAACTGTTGCATTTTATTTCATGGTCATGGTCAGAACCCGACCGTAAAAATCTGACCGTATAAAATGCAACAGACGTAGATTACTTACATACGAACTAATTCGTTTTACGTCAGCCGGGCCCGCTCAAGGAGGCTGTCATATGTTGGAAGCGACCGATTCAATATGTTAATCGCAACAAATCGGCAGATCACCACTCTTGAAAGAGGAAAAGGACCTAGTGTTTTGAAATTAACCTTCCATGACCACTTGCTGGAACCTGGTTTTGTTGAGCATCTTGATGTTCGGATACCACATAGAATGAGCGAGTACAATCTGATTCGCCCGTTTCCTTGTGCCACTCATCAGACGGAACGAAAAGGAGCCGTTTCTGAAACACATGACAATGGATGACGAAGCGAATGCAGCGATAGACCAGAAGTGTCCACAACTTGCCAATCGCGGGGGCGTTGTCTTTCATCAGAGTAATTTCAGATTACCGTATTTCTGGCTACTCTTCAGAAATTGCGGGAGCTTGGGTGGGATGTCTTGCCACACCCTCTATATAGTCCGGACATAGCTCCATCAGACTGCTGCTTGTTTAGGTTTCCGCAGAAACCTTCGGTGAAGAATCGTTCAACCCGCTGGAGGACTCCAAAAAGCATCTGAGAAAGTTTTCCGATTCTGAGTCTATAACTTTATGAAAGTCGGATAATCAAACTTAAGGGAGATGTCGAACCATTTCTAAGCGGAATAGAGGACATATTTGTTTTGACTTAATGTTTTGTTAATTGCTGTTATTACGCCGCAGTGCGCGCTATGAAAGCTTCAGAAAGTTGTCGATTTATGGACAATACTTCAGTCTCTGNTTAACGGTTCAGTTTTGATATCGGTGGAGTACTGGTAAGCTATGGCATATAAGTCATTAAAAAGGCGACGGCAAGCGGTATGTCGGTAGTGTAAGGGATAGAGCACGGCGCCCGGAAAGCACATGCACTGCTTCGAGTCCGGTCTGAGGGTGAAGTTTTGTCCATGAATCGCCAACCTTATTAGAGGAAATATTGTTTTATGGATGGATTTGATCTTCTAGAAATTCTCACTCAATAATGACTCAAAAATCGGTGGAAACTTTCCGGACTATACCACAATTCTGACTGTTCATTGGGTTTACTCTACTCTTCATTTAGCGACTTTGCGAATAGAAACGTCCCGCTCAGGTTGTTTCTTTTAATCGACTAGATCAGTA